AAAAAAAAAAAGTCAAAAAATAAAAAGTATTATCTCAGAAAAATATTAAACTAAAGACCTAAAGGAATCAGCTGAAAACACTTCAGAAATTTTTCAGTTTCTGGAAAATTGACATCTTTTTGAAAACCGCTCTTTTGTGATAAGTTAGGGAAAAAAAGAAGAATAACCTTATTTTTAATATTGTTGAGTGCTATTTTAAATTTTCATTAGGTAAAAAACTACACAAGATGAGAATGTTTAAATACTCTAATGAAATAAGAGCAATTAAAAAGCAAACATATTATATAATGAAATATCAATAAGATATCTTTACCATTCTAAAAAATATATAGGTGTGAACAGAACTGTAGGAGAGTCAGAAGATCTCCAAATACTGTTTCCTCCAATAATTTTCAATTAATTTTTAAATAGAAAATATATTCATATGATTAAAAATTCAAAAAGTACAGACGATTCTACAGGGACACATCACCAAAGAAGATATGTGGATAAAAAAGAAGCACATGAAAAGATGCTCAACATCATTAGTAATTAGAGAAATGCAAATTACAACCACAATGAAATACTACTGAATACCTACCACAATGTCTAAAATTAAAAAGACTGACCATTCCAAGTGTTAGCGAGGATTTGGTGGAATTAGAACCCTCATACACAGCTAGGGAGAATGTAAAATGGTATAACCACTTTGGGAAACAGTTTGAAGTTTCTTAAAAAGCTAAACACATACCTATTAGATAAGCCAGTTATTCCACCTAGTATTTACCCAAGAGAAAGAAAGCCTGTGTTCTCACTAGGAAGATACTGGTAAACAAGGAGCACATGGTCTACCAGGCAATAAAAACAGTAAGTACTTACTACTGTATGACAGTGCTACCAGTACTAGAAAGCAAATAGAAGGGGCAAATTAATTCAGATTTAGGCAGCCAGGGAAAACTTTCTTTAGAAAACAAGGTGTAAACTGAGGCCCAATTAGCAATTACTCCAGTTCCAACAATGTGAAAATAATATGACATGAAAGTCCAGAGGCAAAAGAGAGTAACCTATTAGAGGAAATCAAATAAGTTACAATATGTTTCAAGCATAGTGAAATGAGGCTGGAAAGGTACGCTAGAGGCAAATCATGCAAGGCATTTAAGCCATGTTAAGGATTTGTGGCCTTCATTCTATTAGCAATGCAGATGCACTGAATTTAAAGCAGGATACTGACATAAAACTTGAAGGAAAACACCGAAACTCTACAATGTACAGTGAAACATGATTACAGAAAGCAAGATGGGAAATAGGGAGCCTAGGTAAGAGGCTATTATGTAACTTCAGGCAAGAAATTGAAAGTTATAAATGGAATGAAAAAAGTGGAAACATTCACATGGAATTTAGGTGGCTGAATCAACATATTTAAATGTATAACTGATGTGGGAAGTTAGGGAGAGGTACAAGGACACCCAATTTATGACTTGGGCCACTGTGAGATCACATTAATTTTCTTCTGTATTACTTGCCATTGTATGTAGGTCCACTGTCCACACTTCCTCCGTATCCTTTAGTCTCACAATACGGGGGAGCCCAGCCATGTTCACAGTGACAATTCTTATTGCTATTACATACCTTCAAAACAATCAAAATAGTACTTTCGTCAATTGTGAATGTTGCTCTGTATCATCAAATCAAGAATGGAAACGAAGAGAAAGGTCTAAATTCATACAAACTTATAGAAACTCTTTTTAAGAATGAAAAATTTATCAGGAATCTAAATTCTCCAAAATCTAAAAATCTCAGGAATTCTCATCTAATCCTCCCTGGGAATTCTCTTTATTCAGCACTACCTTCATGAACAAACCAAAAGAGAATATTACCTACCCCATGTCCATGACACTTTTTCTGAACATCACAGTCATAATTCAGAACAGAAGCATCTACACATTGGAAGTTTCTACAGATCTGAAAAAAAAATGAACTAAGT